CCCAAAAAATATTCCGATAATAATATTTTTTTTAAGAGAAAATATATCGATATATTGATATTTTGATATATTTCCGACATCCCTACTTTAGAGGGACACAAAGAGACATACATAAGTATCCCTTTGACTTCTCCTTGAAAATTATAGGTCCAAAGAAAATAGGCCAAGAGTTGGTGCCTTTGACGAAAGCATCTGATAGTGACCTTTGACGATAGTGCCTTTGAACTTCCTTATAAGATTTCATGCATCAATTATACAATAACGTTGACGAGTTATTACAAATAGTGCCGATGTAAATTTGTAAATTGTGTGTAAATTGACCCAGTGCTCGTGTTCCAGGATCAGCTTCGTAATGCAGCAGTATCGGGTGTTTGACTTCTTCCGGTAGCTTGAACCAATAAACGGCGCAAACTTTGATAACTATGACCTGTTTCGTAGTGGTTGATTCGTCTAGATAAGCTTTCGGTCTTCTTCCTTTTCTGGCAGTATATCAGTCGGGACGGCCGGGACTGGCCATCTGTAGGAGAATTGTATAAAATAACAAGAAAGGAAAGCTAACTTCGGGCGGAGCCTGAGTTGATATACCCTTGCAGTTAATAATGGATATATATCGCAAATATCGGATATAGTCGTTCGACCCTTATGAGAATATAATAATATAATCAATTTACTACATTAAAAAATCGAATAAAAATCCCAAGCGTCTATCTTCAAAAATACCAAAGCTGATATTTTTACCAAGTACCAAATACAATTTCCGATCGTTCAGTTATATGGCAGCTATTCGATGTAATTGGCCGAAACTTATGAAATTTGATATGTCGGATAACTGACCAAAAATAGAATCTGTACGAAGTTTTCTATCTCAAGCTTAAAAACACGAAAGTAAGGTCATTACCGATTTTTCAGGTATATGGCAGCTATAGGATATAGTCAGCCGATCCTTTTAAAATTTGGTTATTTTGGGCGTCTTATTTTGCCAAAAATAGTAATTATGCAAAATCCGATCGAATGGAAAGAAAGGTGTGTCAAAAGTTTCAAGTAAATAGGTTTAAAAGTGAGAGACTAGTTTGCGTAGAAAGAGACAGGAGGTGATTCTGATCAAGAATATATATGTGGGAATGGGTCAGCAGAACAATAAACAAAGACGAAAAAGGCGCGATTAAAACCAATTAAAACGTGTAACTTACTTTATATTCTATAATTTTCAATCTATAATCAATTAAACATTACTATAAAACTATAAAATAAAACTAGTGGGACTTTCTCATTTTACAAGGAAACACCAATCCCACATATATATTTTAAAGGGTCACAAAATTATAATACTCTCTGCAAGGGTATAATAATATACGGCAAGTTCAAAGCCAAATATCGAGCAAAAATAATAAAATAAAAAGTCGGGTTCCTAGGAAGAACGACAGCCAAAGTCTTTTGCATTGGAAGAACGTCTTCAGCAGGACCACCAAAAAATAGAACAAAAACATAAGCTTTAGTAGTAACGCGCATTAATACAAAAAATTAATAAAATATAGGGTAGTAAGAATAAAAACCAACATTTTTTACAATTTTTTTTTAAATAATTTACAAAAATCGATAAAAAAGGGTAATACTTATCAATTAAACTTTATAAAAAAATTGATATTAAAAAAAAAAAATTTGGGTATCTAAAAAAATTTAACATTTAAAAATTTGGAAACTATCAGTTTTTTTTGGCCGTATGCAGAATGTTCAGTCATTTGATCATTCGAACATGGAAATTAAATTTAAAATACGGAAAAACAAAGAAAATGATTTCTGTAGCCTTTTGTGTTCACCGCAACAATTAAAATATCTTAAAAATTAAAAATGTCCCCTTCACTGCGTTGCACTTTTTTGAACAAAATTATAATACCCAAATTATAAATTATAAGGGTAAAAATTTGGTATTCCAAAAAACATCAAATTTTTACTTTTTGTGGCACTTTGCCAAATGTTCAAGCATTGAACACAATAAAAATTCCAAGGATAGAGTTTGAAGGGACTGGACCCACCGAAATACTAGATGCATGGTTTAAAACCGATCCCCTGCTTCCTAAACAAATACATACATAAGTGGTGCGCTTATCGCACCTAAAAAGGGTCACTCGCATTGATATTTTTTTTTAATATATTTAAGATTTTCATATATCCAGGTTTCCGGATGAAAGCAACGAGTCCGCGATCTCCGTGAGTTCTGTTAGGTCCGTAAGTGTTGCGCCACCCAGGAGTTGGAGTCGACTACGCCCAAGCGCAGGGCAAATTCGCTACATCCTTGCTGCTCCTACAGTAATCGTAGGTTAATACCGAGAGTCTAGCCGCGTGCGTTCCTATTAACCAGTACTCCGTGATAGCCACTAGACTGCAGTCCTGGGAGATAGGCATCATTGATCCGGCAGTATCTGGAGACTCTTCCATTTCCTCAGTGCTTCCAGGTCGAAGCGATCCTTGTCGAAGTAAGGGAAGGTCGAAGTAAGGGAATGCCTACTGGTTCTTTCCCCGGTAGTAGAGGGTTGGTAGTATCCTTGCTAATTCGTCAGCGGCGAAACTGCCTTGTGGTCCCTGTGTCCTGGATCCCATATGAGGTGGACGTCGGGCTGCTTCGCCACCTCGTTAAGGAATCTGTGAGCGGTATTTGCGTGGATGTTGGATAAAAATCCGTCAAGAGCTTTGAGTGCCGCTTGACTATTTGAGAAGATACAAATAGTTTCTTGAGTGCCATCAAGTGCTGCGGATCTAAGTTCAAGATAGCTATTATTTCAGCTTGGAACACTCTACAGTCGTCGGGGAGTCTGAAGAACTCATTTAGAGAAAGTCGCTCGCAGTGGAAATCGCCTGGCCATTCAACTTGAACCACCCATGTATATATGAAGGGAACCCGCTAGTCCCGGGATTTGTGCAGCACATTCTTCCCTCGATAGAATGGGGACTTTATAGTTTAAGGTGGGATGATCCACGGGTATACAGTAGTCCGTAACTCCCAGAGGAATGACACGGTATAAGTCCAACTTTTTGCGTTCATAGCTAGTCCTTTTCCATAGACCCGCCTCGCGTAGCCTAATGGCCGACAGTGTTGGTACCTTGACCCCCAATATCTCTACTGCCAATAGATCGAGTATGAAGTATAGGGCGTCAGTTGGTGTGGTGCGAAGATCGCCTGTAACTCAAACTTCCGCCATCCTCTGCGTTTTCCTAAGCCTTTCCTTACATATGGAGTTTGTTAGGCAGGCTACCAGACCACTACCCCGTAGAAGAGGATAGGTCTAATGACCGCTGTATACCGCAGTAGCCATCTTACTAGCCATACCCCATTTAAGCCCATTGGATTTGCGGCAAGTATAGAGTGCGATAGCCGCCTTGCTTGCTCTGTTCATAGAATTTAGCTTCCAGTCCAGGGTGTAAGCAGCTGATCACAAATCAACTGTTGGGCGATGTGACCATCAGTCCGGCCTGTGACTATCACCAGAAATACCAGGGCGAGACTGGTTACTGATCCAGCGAGAAAAGTTAGTTTTAAGCTAGAATAAACCTGCTAAACCTTCATTCACTCATGAATAAACCTGCGAGACCACTCGAAAAAGCCATCACTTTACAGTTCAGAAGTGGGATACTCTTGTGTTGGTTATGCGAAAATCGGAGAGATAGTCGGAAAATTTGGAAAAACAAAAGAGCAGAATCGTCGGCGTGGAAAGTAGGTAATTAGAAGCAGTCCCAGAGATTACTCGTTACTTGTGCGTGGCAGACGAATTCACAGTTAAGAAAAAAACCAGACAGTATACATACAAAGCGATCGTGTGTATATGGGCGTCGTGGTGAAATTGGCAGTAACGAATAAAAAGTTTAAGAAGCAACACGGAAAAAATGGTCAAGATAGCTGAACTCAAGATAGACCAGTTGAGGTTTTTGTTGAGAGAACGATATCTTGCAGCTGCGGGAACCAGAGCAGAGTTAGTGCAGCGACTAGTGGAGTTTGAGGATTCGGAATGTGGTTTGGATGTGGAGATACCATCCAGTGGAAACATAAGCCAATGACAGGAATCGATGACGTCACAAGCGGCAGCCATTTCACAACTGCAAAATGAGATGACCGAGCTGAAGAATATGATGGCGCAGTTGGTGAGCATGCAGAGGCAGAATGCAGATGCAGATACAGGAGCTAGTAGCCAGCAACGCGCAGAGGAAGGCTTCGGCCACGCATCGAGCGATGAGCGACTGAGCGACTGAGCGATTTTTTCCCGAGCGTTAATGAGCGATCGCTTTGATTGAGGTGTCCACGCACTGGGCGACATCACTTGAGATTAATTGTAAAAATGCCTTATTCTAGATAGGTTCTATGAAATCTGCTTGAAAGCCGTTATAGTAAATATAGGCAATTAAAAATTACACAGCTCCACAAAAAAAAAAAAAAAAAAAAATTCAGAGATCAGACCATACCTCCTATATGGATTTGGGGTCGCTGAATCCGAATCCGTGGTCAGTTGGCGCCATCACGTCAGGTTTTCGAGAAAATAATGGTTGAATAGTCGAAAAACGCCGTTTTTGGCCATTTTCGAAAAATCGTACCGCAAAATTCTGATGTGTTACAAACCTAATTCAAAATGGAAATGAAAGGCTGATTTGTGATCTTTAAAACGAGCTCCATGCCAAATTTTTCGCATGCACCGTTAGGACAGGGGGTGCGTTTATATGTAGGCATCTTAGCAAAAAATGTATGCCGAACACAAAAAATTCAAAATTCAGCATATTCAAATAAAACATGGTACCCGGGGGTTTTTGGGGTCGCTGAATCCGAATCTGAGGTCAGTTTGACGCCATCACGTCAAGTTTCTTCATAACCTCAAACAAATAGCGTCAACCCAGAAAACGCCTTACCTAAAATAACCAAACGCAAGTTAACCTAAATTAACCTATCTAATTCTAAGTTAACCTAACCTAAAATTATTCAACCTAACTTAATCTAAATTAATTAAAAATAGAAGCAAGATTTACTGGTCCTTGCTTCTCTTGTGATACCTCACTTGTTTGCATTCAAACGATCGACGCAGGGAACGTCGCTTACAACCTTTCTTGTCTTTCACATCATCCCGTTTCAGATTCCAGCAATAGTCTGCCATCATATTGACACCCCATTTTCCTTGATATCGCTTTTCCATATCCCGCATGTCTTGATGACACCTTTCTCCATGTTCTTCGCTGAAGTCGCCTAGTTTTTCTGGAAAGAAATCAATATGTGAATCCAAGAAATGCATTTTAACAGTCATATTGCAACCTAGAAGATCAAATTTGTTAATCATCTCACTTACCATCTTCTTGTAATTTGGGCTCTTCTTATTCCCTAGAAAATTTTGGCAAACATCGCGAAAACTTGTCCATGCAGCTTTCTCCGTTTTCGTCATATGATCTGTAAAATTACCATCGTTAAATAGTATCCGAATTTTTGGGCCGTCAAAAATACCTGCTTCTAATTTTGCCACACTGAGCGTAGGCATTTTTTTTGCGATGTATTCAAAACATTTGCCAGTCTTATCCAAAGCCTTGACGAACTGAGTCTTTAGCCCAAGTTTCAGATGTAAAGGTGGCACTAAAATTTTTGATACATCTACGAGAGGCGCTTTCAAAACATTAGGTGATCCAGGTTCCAAGGACTTACGTTCTGGCCAATTCTTCTTTTTATAATGATTTGATCGATCTCTGCTATCGAAGAGACATAAAAAGCAGGGATATTTGATGTTACCACTTTGCATTCCCAGGATGATCCCTATAATTTTCAAATCACCACATAGAAGCCAGTTAGATCAGAGTATTTTATTTTATCAAGAACTATACTCACGTTTTCATGCGATTCCTTCATGACTGTAGAATGAGCTATAGGTATCGGAGCTAGAACGTTCGTGTTGTGGAGTAGTATAGCTTTTAGACTGCGAATTGATGAGTCTATAAAAAGACGCCACTCTGTCGGCTTATATACATTATTATTTTTTTAACTATTTATCAGTCCGCTGATATTGTCACAATATACTAAATGTAATGTTTCATCTTGGATAAAGAATTTCCTCAGTTCTCGCTCACGATTTCTATATACAGTAACGCTTGTTCCTTTATCCAAGAGATTTTTGAATTTTAGCCTTGACGCCAAAAGCTCATGTGCTTCCTTTGACAAACCCAGCTCTCTACCTAAATTGCTCAATTCAGATTGACTGAATTTTTGCGGTATTTCATTCCTTTTTTTGAATTCTTCATCAATTGATGCCACATCACTGTCTCCATCGTATTCTTCTTCGCTTGCATCAGGTGCTGGATCATCGGAGACTTTTTTACGACGACCACGTTTTTCCAAACCTGAAGCGTTAGCTGGTTTCACTTTATCTGTGTATATATACTTAATTTGATGTCTGTTTTTGGAATTAAATCCCGCTGTAATTGTCATACAGAAGAAACAATCTTCTCTTCTGTCTGGCCTGCTCCATATAACTGGTGATGTGATATTCAATTTTGTAAGGTCCTTAGAATTGTGACATATTCTCATAATGTTGAAGCAGTTGAAACAGACAATAAGAGGGACCCAGTTCTCATTTTGATTTGAAATTTTAGATGAATAACAATATTCGTATGCGTCGTGGACAGTATCGTTAATTTTTTTTCGAAACTTAGAAGCAGAAAACAACCCGCAAACATAGCAGAAACTGTCCGGTTTGCTTACATCATCGTGAACGTGTCTTGTAGTGTTATACTCCGTAGAAGCCAAGGACTCCACATCTACGAAGCTGCGGCCACATGATGACGACGCCTGCGGGCCCGCTTGCTCACCCTGACCAGCCGCCGATACTGGGTATACCTGCATCGTAACTTTTTTCCGTGTGATTGCCATGACGGCTCTAATATCGTTGTCTAGGGTCTTTGCCGGATCTGCAGATGACTCCGTTGCCCGCCGTCAACCACGTGGAGGTGCCCTAGTTTGCAAACACACGAAACACACTCTTCACTTTTTTTGAGGTTATGAAGAAACTTGACGTGATGGCGTCAAACTGACCTCAGATTCGGATTCAGCGACCCCAAAAACCCCCGGGTACCATGTTTTATTTGAATATGCTGAATTTTGAAATTTTTGTGTTCGGCATACATTTTTTGCTAAGATGCCTACATATAAACGCACCCCCTGTCCTAACGGTGCATGCGAAAAATTGGCATGGAGCTCGTTTTAAAGATCACAAATCAGCCTATAATTTCCATTTTGAATTAGGTTTGTAACACATCAGAATATTGCGGTACGATTTTTCGAAAATGCCCAAAAACGGCGTTTTTCGACTATTCAACCGTTATTTTCTCGAAAACCTGACGTGATGGCGACCAACTGACCACGGATTCGGATTCAGCGACCCCAAATCCATATAGGAGGTATGGTCTGATCTCTGAATTTTTTTTTTTTTTTTTTTTTGTGGAGCTGTGTTATACAAAGGCGTAGGTTTGGCGTTCATCCCATAAATCGATTGCGAAATGAGTAAGGCGAGTTTCATCACTTATTCAAAAATCTTCGAAACCATCCAGATCCATTATGGCAATACTTACGCATGTCAATCGATTCATTTGACTTGCTGTTAAGTAAAATTGAAAATGAAATAAGTAAACCGAGATCAACAATTTCAGCTGAAGAACGATTGGTTTTATTATTAAGGTAAGTTTGTAAGTTGTAAATAAGTTTATTATAATACTAATGCTATACTTATGATGATAATAAGTATTATAAATGATATAATGATATAAAATAATGATATAATGATATAAAATATATATGTAAGTAGTAGTTAATTGTAATATTTATTCCTTATTTTTAAGCTTAGCCATAATTATATTTTGAATATCATTTCTAACTTCCAACTTTTCTATGTCCGTAAATTTTTGAAAAAAAGGCAAAAGTGATTTAAAAAATAATAAATCTTCATTTTGGTTTTCTTCCTCTAATTTTTGTTCTTTTCCGATTTGACTTTTCAACATTTCCAGTCGCTCTTTTTCTATTTCCAAAAATTCTGTTTCCAAATTCATTTTTCTTTTTCTGGGCGTCGATTTTCCTACTGTACTTGTAGATGACATCACAGACATACATATTACTTTCATCGTCCTGAAGCATTTCTAAAAGCATTTCATTTATGCTTTCGTCGTCCTGCTGCAAATTGCCCTCAGTCGGATCTGGAGCAACTGTCTTTTTTTAAAAAAGACATCAGCTCCAAGTATGGCCATTTGGTTTGAGCTTTGGATCCCGATGGTAGGCGTGGTAGTTTTTGCAACGTCCTTCTGTATGTGTCCTTTAAATTTTTCCATTTGGCCTTTGATGCGGCTCCTAAAAATTTGATTTGTATTTTGTTCATAAAAATTCGTATCCATTAATAATTTTATTTTATTTTACATTAGTTTTATTTTGTTAAGCACATATTTTTATTTTTAGGTACCTTGCTACAGGTCATTCATTTTGTGTCTTGGCATTTGCTTTTCGATTGGGAAGAAGCACTGTTAGCAAAATTATAAGCGAAACAAGCATTATAATTTGGAAATCACTCGTTAATGAATATATGCCAACACCAACAACTGATATACTTCAAAAAGTTACGGAAGATTATTATAGGCGTTGGAAGTTTCCAAACTGTCTGGGTAGCATTGACGGAAAACATTGCCAAATTAAGTGCCCAGCTCATACTGGATCACATTATTTCAATTATTTGCATTATTTTTCAATTGTTTTGCAAGGAGTGGCTGACGCTGATAAAAAATTTATAGCAATTGAAGTGGGTGGCAGAGGAAAGCAAAGCGATGGTGGGACATTTTGTGGATCCACTTTGTTTAGATTGCTGGAAGCAGGGAAATTCAATGTTCCACCACCACAAGCACTACCAGGCTCAAATATCAAATATCATTTTGCCAAACTTTTTTATTGGAGATGAAGCCTACCCACTGAAAAATTATTTGATGAGACCATATCCTCGAAAGAAGTTAAATGCAAAAACTGAAAAGTACAATGAAAGATTATCGATAACCAGGAAGTGCATTGAATGTGCTTTTGGTATTTTAACAAAAAAATGGCGAATTTTACAAAAAGATATTGAGACAAAACCTAGCATAGCCATTCACATTATAAAATGTGCTTGCATTCTACATAATTATGTAAGAGAACGTGATGGGGACAGCGATCTGGACTACATAAATACGACAGCAGAATTTAATAACGGAATAGTTTCTTCAAGAAATGTGGATATTCTTGAAGAACCGTCACATTGCAATAGAAGCAGTCAGTCAGCCATGAATGTTAGAAATTCTTTTTTTTTTTTTTTAACGTTGCTTTTATTTCTTGAATCTTCTCTTTGCGAGACTAACAAGAGGTGTATCAAATCTTATATTTTTAACTTAACTATCAGTCATATTGACTGATACGGAGTTAGACGGCCCTAACAATCGATTGCTGGGTTGGGAGGTCGTTGCGTCTAAGGCGGGATACGCTAGAAACCCGAGTCAATCCCCGAGCGAGAAAATTTGGGTGCGAAGACAGTTTTTCTTTGTATGATTCTTTTTGCTTCTGGATTTCGTCTTTCACTGCGAGGATGCCCAGATCCCGGTGGATGTTTTCGTCGCGAACATACCAACATACCATGCGCCAGTCGGACAGCCAAGTTTCCACTATTATGAGATGATTAGCCAGTTGGGTTGTTGCCTGCGTTGAGCATCTGGAGCGACTAAGGATAGCGGTATTATCGGCGAACGTTGACGTTGTTAGTTGTGCGCTCGTAGGAATATCCGCAGTATACAAAACATATAGACACGGGCCGAGTGTGCTTCCTTGTGGAACTCCAGCTTCGATGCTGTAGTCGCCCGAAGTAGCTGCGTTGCATCTCACTGAGAATACCCTATTGAAGAGGTATGATTCCAGTAGCTTGTGGGTGTATGTTGGCAAATACGTTTTAATTTTGTGCATGAGTCCGATGAGCCAAACTCGGTCGAAAGCTTGAGATACTTCGAGGAAAATAGCGCTGCAGTATTCTCGTTGTTCGAAGGCTGAGCGTATTTCGGATGTTAATCTGTTCACTTGTTCGATGGTTCCATGGTTTCTTCGAAAGCCAAATTGGTGTGCCGGGATGATATTGCAAGCTTCCAGATGTGGTATTATGCGAGTTAACAAGCATTTTTCAAACAATTTAGACAAACAAGATAGAAGGCTTATTGGTCTGTATGATGACGGAATTGTGTGGTCTTTTTCAGGCTTCGGTATCATTATAATGATGGATTTCTTCCACTTTTTTGGGAAATAGCCAAGATTAATGATTCCATTAAATAGTTTGCAGACGACCTCTATAGCGCATTTTGGAAGTTCGATCAGCATCTTTGGGGTCAATAGGTCACCACCGGGAGCCTTTTTTGGTTTTAGCCCTCTTATGACTTTTTCGATTTCGTTCGGCCGGAATGAAGGTGCGGCTGGCTGAGGGGAGGACTCTGGCTGAATTTCTGGCAGGAGGAATGAATTTGAGGCTGGGTTTGGCTGGAAGACACTTTGGAGATGTGTGGCGAATGTTTCAGCTCGGTCTTCGTCGCTGCGAGCATAGCATCCCGAAGAGTTTCTTATCGGGGTGGTCGTTTCAATTGGGGCGCTAAGATTTGGGTGGGCCCTCCACAGGGGGTACTTTGTGCTTGTTGGCGAGAGATTCTGGATGTACCTCAGCTGTGCATTTTCTTCCTGTTGGTGATCGGGTTGGTGATCGGGTTGCATCCTTAAGGCGTTGTTT